TTACTCAGCTATAAGGAATGATAAACTCAATGCCTTTATTTTGAAGTGGATGCCACTTTAAGATATACTCATAAGTGAAATTAACCGGACACACATGTGTAAATATCATATAGTTTCCCTAGTATAAGAACTCAAAAGAAGAAATAAATTAGAAAGTTATAATTACAAGTAAAAAGAAAGCAGGAACTCGAGGACTAACTAATCAAGAGAGGGAAAAAAGAAAGCTAGGAAACATGACAATGTCAAGTCATACAGTTATATGTAGAAGATGGGCAAGGCAATGATCCTGAGAATCTCCAGAAGATTTTTGAATGTAGCAGTTAATTGGAAAGATTCTCATCCTGCATAACTATATATACTGGTACCTGTGAACTAAGCAATGGCACTGAAGATGGTAATATGTAATAGTAGTCTCATGCTTGGAGTGACTGTCATTCTGGCCTTCTGAATACGGGCTTCTTCTCATCACATGTCAGTTGCTGCTGTGCTGTCTCTTGGGTAGATGATTGTTCAGAAAGTAGGTGGTGGTGAATTAAGGCAAGAAACAGGAAAAGGAATATTGTGGGACTGTCCTGCTTCAAGATTGTATGTGGATAAATTTTTGGACTTATGTGTAAACATATGAAGTATATAATTCTTTATGCCTATTTTTACAAATATATTCTAATTTTTAAATGTTTTTTCATCATATTCTGTAGGGACTTAAAGTTAAACATGTCAATACTTGATGAAAAATACCTGTTCCATATTATGGCTAAGATGTTTGATAAGCAGACAGATTGTGAGGTTAAGCTTAACAGCATAAGTTGTATGGCAATAGCAATAAGCTTGTCTTCAGGATGGTTAACAACCTAAGTTTGCAGACCAAAATTAGATGAAAAGGAGGGCTGCAAGGAAAGCCAACATTTTGGCCCTAGCTTTCCAAGGTCAATTAAGACTCAGGACATATGAGAAGTTTTACTGTAACGTCTCGTAACTCGGTGTCTCTAATCTTCTGATCAAGGAGATTATCAGGCCAAAGAGGAAAGTGATCGATGATGTACAGTGTGCCTAAGGAGAGTCACATGGAGAGAAAAAACTTTCTCAGGCTTTCACAGAGAGCACATTGGCCACACAATGGCTGTGACTCATCCACAAGGCGGACACTGACAAAGGTTTTACTATCTGAGGTACAGGATCTCAGCATAAATCCTGCGGGGATTTCACTGATCTTATCAGACTCAAAAGCTACAACTCTTCTTGCATAGGTTCTGCTTTACCTTGGTCTTAACCATCCAGCAGAAAAGTATAAAAATGAAGTATAAGACGTAATGCCATGCTGTTATGTTGAGCTTTAGGGGACTCAGGTCAACAATTTCTGACATTGAAGTCAAGCGGAAGACCTAATACTATTATGGACTACTGGACTATTAGAATATTTTGCTGAGTTTACACACATATAATATTCAAATAACGGAACTTAACCAAAAAAAGGGCATACAGATGAATGTCCATTTTGTATCTGTGTATTCAAAGTGGTTAGGGTGAATTATTGAAATTGTCCTACCAATTTGATTTGAAACTGTCTCATTGATATTTGTTTATCAATAAAATTATGGGGAAAAATTTCTAATATCCAATGCCACAGTCTTAACAGGAGAATGTAACACCCTCTTATCCCAAAAAGGTAGGTCAACCAGACAAAAAATTAGTAAAGCAGCAACAAAATTGTACCAGAGCTTGAATCAAATGGGATTACTGCACATATACAGAGTGTTCCACCCAAACACAGCTGATTATACATTTTTCTCAGCTGCGCATGGGTCATTTTCTAACATAGACCACGTACTAGTCCATAGGTCATGCATAAGTATATGTAAGAAAACAGAAATTATCCCATGCATATTATCTGACCACAGTGCAATGAAACTGGAAATAAATGAAAAAAGAAACCAGAAAAAAACCCTAAATACATGGAAATTAAACAACACCCTACTCAGCAACCAATGGGTCATAGATAAATTCAACAAAAAATTGAATGATATCTACAATTCAATTAAAATTCGAGCACAACTTTTTGGAATTTATGGGATGTGATGAAAGCAGTTCTCAGAGGGAAATTCATAGCTGTGAACTCACACATTAGGAAAACAAAACAAACGGATTCTCCACCTACAACAACTAGAAAAGGAAGAGCAAACCAAACCCAGAACCCAAAGACGGGAAGAAATCATAAAGATTAGAGCAGAAATTAATTCAATTGAGACGAAGAAAACAATTCAAAGAATTAAAAAAGCAAAAAGCTGGTTCTTTGAAAGATTAAATAAAATCGATAAGCCCCTAGCTAACCTTATCAAAAAGAGAAAAGAAAAAATTCAAATACAAACAATAAGGAATCAAAAAGGTGTAATTACCACAGACCCAGTGGAAATTCAGAAGATTATCAATAGCTACTTTGAGAAACTTTACTCTCACAGAATAGAAGACAAAGAAGAAATGGACAGATTCCTAGAAAGGTACAAATTACCAAAACTGAATCAAGGAGAGAACCTAGGAAACATGCCAGTGGCAAAGCTATACAGTTACATGTACAAGATGAGTAAGGCAATGATCCTGAGAACTGTCAGCAGGTTGTTGAATCTAGCAGTTACTGGATGGGATTCTCACCCTGACTGACTATATATGCTGATACATGTGAACTGTGCGACTGCACCGAAGATAGCAATGTGTAGTAGTGGGGTCATGTTTGGAATGCCTGTCATTCTGGTCTTCTAAATATGTACTACTTGTCATGACTTGCCAATTATGGCCAGACTGTATGTCAAGTAAATGGTTTTGTTTTTTTTTAAAGATGTTCCATCTTATGCCTAAAATGTTTGCTGTTCAGACAGATTGTGAGGTTAAACCCACCTGCATATGTTATAAGGCAATAATAAGCTTCTCTTCTGGAGGGTTAACAACCTAAGTTTACAGACCAAAAATTAGAGAAACAGAAAGGCTGCAAAGAGAGCCAAAATTTTGGCACTAGCCTTTCAAGGTCAGTGAGGACTCACAACATAGGAGAACCTGTACTGTAGCATCATGTAGCTCAGTTGTGCTGCAAATTTTCTGATCAAGGAGATTATGGGGCCTCAGAGGAATGTGATCAATGATGTAGTGTGTACCTAAAGAGAGTCACATGGAGAGAAAACATTCTCTCAGGCTTTCTCAGGGAGCAAATTGTCAAGTAATGGCCATGACTCATCCACATGGCTGCCACTCACAAAGGATCTACATAGTGCAGTACAGGATTTCAGGATAAATCCTGAGTGGATGTGACTGTCTGTGTCCGATAGAAAAGTTCCATTTTTTGTTATATAGGTCTTGTTTTATCTTGATCTTAACCATCCAGCAGAAAAGTGTAGAAACGAGGTATGAAAAGTGAAGCCATGTTAATATGCTGATCTGTGGAAGGCTCAAGTCATCAGATTTGGACATTGCCATTCCTATGGATAACCCACTACTATTGTGTACTACAGGACTATATTGGAATATTTTGCTGTATTCATGCACGTACAATATTTGGATGGCAATGGAATACCCATCTCTGACAAAACTGAACAAAAAAGGTGATAAAAATGAAGGACAATTTTGTATCTGTATATACAAAATAGTTAGGATAGATATATGGCTACTTTCTCTTAATTCAATAAGAAGAAAGACCTGTACTAATAGTATTTGGACAGAATATCATGTCTACATCTTGTGCTATGAATGACTACTACATAGACAACAATATGCAATGTATTAATTGTTGTAACTCTCCTACCAACCTGTTTTGGAGCTATCACATTCCAATTTTTTTCTCAATAAAATTAATGGAAAAATAGAAAATCGTCACCAACTATTCTTATGAAAACAGTATCAAGACTATATAAAGAACCAAAAAAATTAACACCAAATATAATATTGAATTAATCAGTAAATGAACTAACTAAACAAACACTTATCAAAAGAAGTGCAACAGGCCAATGATTATATGTAAAATTTTTAATATTTTAGTTATTAGGAAAATGCAAATCAAAAGTATATTGAGATCCCATTTTACTCCAGTCAGAATAGCTGCCATCAAGAGTACAATGTGTGTGTGGAAAGAAAATAATTACATATTCGGTTGGAGGGAGGGAGTGTTAGCATAGTGACTACAGAAGTCAGCATAGAGATTCCTGAAAAACTACAGTGCAGCTGCCATGTGAACCAAATGTAACAATGCTCAGTGTATAATCAAAGGAATGTGCGTTATTATAGAACTATGTTTATTGTGGTGCAACTAACAGTAACCAGGCCATGGAATCAGCCCAGATTCTCATAAGAACATGTAATATAGATGAGATATGTACTTAAGTACATACATGATAGGTGGTAGATATGATGATAGATGATATATTTAAAAGTAATAAGATTATAGTTATGTTATTTACAGGAGATAGGTGAACTGGAGACAATCATGTTGAGCAAAATAAACCAGACTCAAAAAAAAGGTTATTTCAAGTTTTTCTCTCCTAAATGAAACTTTAAAAAAGATGACATGAAAGTAAAAACAAGATGATTAAATAGAAAAGCAATCAGTGACAAGAGAAAGGGCTTAGGATAGGCAGAGTAATAGGAATAAGAAATGAAGAACAAAGCATGTCAATGCATGTATAAATATGCAAAAAATGAAATGCACTGTATGGTATAATTTATATACACTAATAAAAATAATCAATTAAAATTGAGTTGTTGTTTTGTTTTGTTTTGGTTTTTTTTGCGGAACTGGGGATTGGACTCAGGCCTTTGTGCTTGCCAGAAAAGCACTTATTCTACTGAGCCATCTCCCCAGCCCCTGATTATATTTTTAGAAAAGTTGAAATCAGAGTAATGGAAATTCCAAGAAAAACACAAAATGAGTGAGATTTACATTTATAATCTGATCAATGAATCACAATTTCAGACTCTAAGGTTAGGTTCCTGCAACCACATATACTTCTTCAGCTCTGAAACTATGGATATTTGTCCAGTTTCATTCGAAAGAGTCTTAACAGAGCTCTCTTTACATCTTGATTCCTCAGACTGTAGATGAAGGGGTTCAGCATGGGGGTGACCACAGTGTACATCACTGAAACTATTGCACTGGAGTGTGAGTTGTGGGACATGGCAGAACTAATGTACACACCTAGGCCTGTGCCATAAAATAAAAAGACAACTGAAAGATGAGACACAAAGGTGGAGAAAGCTTTATTTTTCCCCTGAGGTGATGGCATTCTATGTATGGAGGAAACTATCTTAGAGTAAGAGTAAAGGATGCCAGTGAAGGAACCAGTGGCCAATAGCACAGGTGCAAAATACATCACAAGGTCGTTAAGAAAGTTTTCAGAACAGGAAACTTGGACCACTTGATTGAGTTCACAGAAGAAGTGTGAGATTTCTAAGTCAGTACAGAAAGACAACCGCAAAGCCATTAAGCTTTGCAACAAGGCATGTAGAACACTTATAACCCAGGGCCCTAGAATGAGGAAGCCACAGAGCCTGGGGTTCATGATAACCATGTACTGCAGAGGATAACAGATAGCCACAAAGCGGTCATAGGCCATCACAGCCAGAAGGAAGTTGTCCAACTCTGCGAAGAGTAAGAAAAAATAAATCTGGGTAATGCAGTCTGTATAGGTAATAACTTTGCTCTGTGTCTGGATGTTCACAAGCATCTTGGGTACAGTGGTAGATGTGAAACAGATGTCCACAAAGGACAGGTTGGAGAGGAAGAAGTACATGGGGGTGTGGAGGTGAGAGTCAGAGACAATGGCCAGGATGATGAGCAAGTTCCCAAACATAGTGATCAGGTACATAGAGAAGAAAAGTCCTTATATAAGGGGCTGCAGTTCTGGCTCATCTGAAAATCCCAGAAGAAGAAATTCTGAAATTCTAGTTGTATTCTCCGGTTTCATGTGGTGGATGCAACTATTGGGAAAAAGAAAAATAACATGAGTACTAGTCAAACAAGTGAACATTACTAATAGTGTTGAAATTCTCCAAATTAGGTTTTCTAGTCTATAAATCCATTTTTATACTTTGTTTATGAATCTGGTCCCCTTAGGGAATTCTTAGTACCGTTCCTAATTTGAAATTTCTGTCCCACTTTAAACCTTCTTCCCAGAAAATCTATTTTTTATAGTTTTCCTAAGCTATTTCTTACAATTGAGAAATGTATGCTAGTGATGACTCTGTTCTATGCACTATCTGGGAAATGATTAGCAAAAGCTGAAAAATAAAATGTCCTATATCTCATCAGTTGGGCCGGCCAAATAGCTCATCAGATTACAGTGCCTGCTCAGACACAGGGCCCGGGAGTTCGATCCCAAGGCCTGCCCTGCTGGCCCCGCCCCCCAGGACACACAGAGATGATGATTTAGACTGGGTGAGGTTGCGTGCGTCCCTAATACCAGCACTTGGGAGGCTGTAAACAGGAGGATTCCTACAAGTCTAGTCTATGCAGTGAGACCCTGTATGCCCTGTACACCTTGTCTTAAAAAAAACAAAAACAAAAAGAAGACCCTCAATAGTTGACAAAGAATATATGCAAATAAGATCATCAAACATATCATTACCATTTTCTGGTGAGGATATCATATATATTTGCAAATGCACACTCACAGAATTCAACATATTAAATATATACTAACATTTAAGTATTATATCTCAACAATTATACCTCTACTTCAAAAAAAGAGATGACGATGTAACTTGCAGTATGACCAAGGCTCCTAAAGAAAATGAAAGGTTTGAAAGATAGAAGAGACAGATGATGATGGTAATATATTATGTGTATGTGCATGCATGCCTCTGTGTGTGTGTGTGTGTGTGTGTGTGTGTGTTTGTGTGTCATGCTGGGCATGGAAGCCAGGACTTTATTCATGTTATTTAGGTTCTTTACCACTGGCCTGCACTCCCAGATCCTGTTTTAAGATTTTTCAAGACCACCAAGGAGCCAGTGTAGGATTTCAATGAAAAAGGGGATTTTTATGAAAGATGGTGTCAGAGGGTACAGTGGTGCTGAAATTACAAGATAGAGGGAGCCTTTACCCGCATCATGTATTTCTTGTACAATGTACTGCAAAAGCATCCTGTGAATTACAATGGAGACCTAACTTACTGCCATTGACAGCTGAGCCCTCCTGCCTAATATAACTCACCTGGGGAAAATGGAGTCTGCATAGCTCTGCTCTGAGGAATGCACATATACACTACCATCACTGCTATTTAGATTACTAGTGTATGCAGTGTAACTTGGCCAGATCCAATTATATTGCCCCTAATTTAATTATGACCCCGATTTTCCATTTGTAAGCCTTCTGTGAACAACCATAAATCTAAATCTTAGCACACTTAAAAGCTTCCCAGTCTTAGTGTAAAGAGGCCATTTTCCCATTTTTCACATGTGGCATCTCTTATGTCTTATTCTTGGACTCTGGATTTGAATCCCTTCTTGGGGGGGGGGACCTACAACTATCATTTATCCCTGGTTCTAGTATTAAATATGCAAATCATTTCCATCCCATTCTCTATGAAACCGTGCTTATGTCAATGACACTTTAATTCTTTTCTTCCTGTGATCTGTCTGAGGGTATTGAGTCAAACATACATTTATTTCATTCTACTCAGTCTATGTCATTATAGTGTAAGATCCAAATGCACACAGACCTCACCTGCTTTGTTCATTTTCACAGAAGTAAGTACATATGTAATTGCAATTACATAGAAACGAATTTAATAAAATGAGAATTTACATAATTAAAACAAGTATAAACTAAACAGAGTTTTTTAAAGTATATTTAAAAAATGATTCAAATCTCAAATATTACTGAAAAGAAAAGAGCATCAGAGTGGAAAAGCAATTTTGTAGCCCTAGGTTCCTCACCAGAGACACAGCAATAGTAAGAAAAACATAACTAATCAAAGACATAAAGCAGCAACACCCCAGCCCTAGCTCAGGGGGGCCGGGGAGATGGCTCAGTGGAATAAGTGCTTCCCTGGCAAGCGCAAGGGCCTGAGTTCAATCCCCGGTTCCACAAAAAAAAAAAAAAAAAA